CTGAAAGATTACTTAGAGTAGGCCAATCATTGATTGTTACGAACAACAATGCTCGCATATCAAAGTGTCCCTATTTGTACTCATCCCACACACGTACACCTTCTTTATTCCACAAAATGAGAAGTTCGTCAATAAGTGGTCTCAGGTACACATCGATGTCATTGCCAGGTTGCTTCGGGCCTTGGATGAGCACATGCATCATAATGAACTTCTGCTTCATGCATAACCAAGGAGGAATGTTTTAGATACTTAGAGTAACATGCCAAGTGCTATGACTATTGTTCCGCTCTCCAAAAGGATTGATACCATCTGTACTTAAAAGCAAACCTTAAGTTTCTTGCGTCATTTGCAAACTCCAGGAATTCTCTGTCGATTGCTCTCCACTGGGACCCATCAGCAGGGTGTCTCAACATATTGTCTACCTTACGGTCTTCTTTGTGCCATTGCAACAATTTTGCATGTTATTTGTTTCTGAACAGACGTTTCAAGCGTGGTATTATAGGAGCATACCATATAACCTTGGCAGGGATTTTTCTTCCGCGGACATTCGCCCTCAACATCACCAGGGTCATCTCGCCTGATCTTATACCGCGATGCATGGCATACCAGGCATGCATCCAATTTCTCATACTCTTTGCCACGGTACAGGATGCAGTCATTAGGACATGCATGTATCTTCTCGATTTCTAGCCCCATAGGACAGACAACTTGTTTTGCTTTGTAGGTAGTGGCGGGCAATTCATTGTCCTTCGGAAGCATCTTCTTTTAGATTTTAGTAAGTCTCCAAATCCCTTATCAGATACACCATTCTTTGCCTTCCATTGCAGCAATTCTAGTGTGGTTCCCAACTTTTTCTGCCCTGCATCACAAGTTGGGTACAACAATTTGTTGTGATCTTCTAGCATCCGCTCGAACTTGATCTTCTCCTTTTCACTTTCACATTCTCTTTGTGCGTCATGAATATCTTGACAAAGATCATCAGCAGGCTCATCTTCTGTGGCTACCTCTTCTTCAGCTTCTCCCATTGCAGTATCATTGAAGCACGCACCATCGGGAATAATATCATTGTCATCCCATTGTTCTTCTTCACCTTCTTCCATTACAACGCCGGTTTCTCCGTGCTTCGTCCAACAAATATAGTTTGGCATGAAATCCGACTTGAACATGTGTGAATGAAGAGTCCTTGAGCAAGGATATTCCACCGTATTCTTACATATGGCACATGGGCAACACATGAAACCGTCGCGTTTGTTTGCCTCAGCCGCACGTAACAAAGAATGCACGCCGTCAATGAACTCTTGGGAGCGGCGATCAACATTGTACATCCAATACCGGCTCATCTGCATTACATGACATAAATACCATATTAAAACATAGATCATAATTAATTATTTATACAACATGTGTGCCACCACAAAAGGTACAAATTTATGAAAGCATCGCTACAATGTAGACAATCTCAACTACCACTAAAAGAACTAAAGCTAAAAATATTTTAGGAGCACAAGGATTTTTGCGACCAATCTCAACTAAAATAGACAGATCCCCGATTGTGCAACATCTTTGGGCTTCTTGGCTGGGATCTTTGCCTCATTAGCCGCCGTATCGCTTGTTGTGCAAGATATTTTTTACACGAGTTCAACATACTCTTCCTCCCGGTAGAAGAAGCCGAACATCGTCCACTACCATCCCTTTGAAATTAAAACAAAAAATTAGAACTTTAATCACAACCATCATGAAAATAGGTATAAACTAACCATAATCATTAAATACGATAAAATAACTCACATTGCGATCCGGATACTTGTAGAAGATACGATCCTTGTTGGGACCCTCCTTCTTCACTCGGTACTCCATCACAATCTTTGTCTCATCACGACACTTGCCGCATAGAATGAGAGGGAGGCCCGGCCTAAGTCGCTTTGGAAACCCATGAGAGGCTGAGGACCCGGAAGTAGTTGCCATCTACTCTCTATACTCATTTTTTAATACACTATAAATTTCTTATTTTATAAACAAATAAAATTAAGAAACTATAAAATTATCTATATCTCTAAACAATGAAGCAGTTGCCATCTACTCTCTATACTCATTTTTTAATACACTACAAATTTTTCATTTTATAAACAAATAAAATTAAGAAACTATAAAATTATCTATATCTCTATACTCATTTTTTAATACATTATAGCTTAAAAACATGTTTTAATAAATAACCATCCGTACTAGTTGACCTTGCTTACGTGATCATCTCGACGAGCATTTCTCCACCGGACGACACCGTACTTGGTCAAGGAAGAGCTCTGATTCTACGAGGAAGGGAACACGGTCTTCCACGACCGTTGTCGCTCTCCCTTATAGAATCAAAGCTCCTCCTTGATATCCGTTACCACTCGGCAGAGAACATGCTCGCCGAGCTGAACACGGTCCGCAAGTTCAACTAATACGGATTTTCTATAATTTTCTAACTATTTTCTAAGTTTATATTTATATATATACTACGTTTGGGTACGGTGATTGATAGACTACTGCGACGATATCAGGACATGTGAATAAATAACCATCCGTACTAGTTGACCTTGCTTACGTGATCATCTCGGCGAGCATTTCTTCACCGGACGGCACTGTACTTGGTCAAGGAAGAGCTCCGATTCTACGAGGAAGAGAACACGGTCTTCCACGACCGTTGCCGCTCTCCCTCGTAGAATCAAAGCTCCTCCTTGACGTCCGTTACCACTCGGTAGAGAACATGCTCGCCGAGATGAACACGGTCCGCAAGTTCAACTAGTACGGATTTTCTATAATTTTCTAACTATTTTCTAAGTTTATATTTTATATATATACTACGTTTACGGCGATATCGGGACATGTGAATAAATAACCATGATTAGTTGACCTTGACGTGATCATCTCGGCGAGCATTTCTCCATCGATACTTGGTCAAGGAAGACCGATTCTGAAGAACACGGTCTTAACCATGCCTCCCTCGTGAGAATCAAAGCTCCTCCTTGACGTCCCGCTTCGTAGGTAGAGAACATCGCCAAGATGAACACGGTCCGCAAGTTCAACTAGTATGGATTTTCTATAATTTTCTAACTATTTTCTAAGTTTATATTTATATATATACTACGTTTGGGTACCGAGACTCTGCGGCGATATCGGGACATGTGAATAAATAACCATCGTACTAGTTGGTGATTCTGCTTATGTGATCATCTCGGCGAGCATTTCTCCACCGGACGGCACCGTACTTGGTCAAGGAAGAGCTCACGATTCTACGAGGAAGGAACACGGTCTTCGATGACCGTTGCCGCTCTCCCTCGTAGAATCAAAGCTCCTCGTTGACGTCCGTTACCGTTCGGCAGAGAACATGCTTGCTGAGATGAACACGATCCGCAAGTTCAACTAGTACGGATTTTCTATAATTTTCTAACTATTTTCTAAGTTTATATTTATATATATACTATGTTTGGGTATGGTGATCGACAGACTACTGCGACGATATCAGGACATATGAATAAATAACCATCCATACTAGTAGAACTTGCTTACGTGATCATCTCGGCGAGCATTTCTCCACCGGACGGCACCGTACTTGGCCACGGAAGAGCTCCGATTCTACGAGGAAGGGAACACGGTCTTCCACGACCGTTGCCGCTCTCCCTCGTAGAATCAAAGCTCCTCCTTGACGTCCGTTACTGCTCGGCAGAGAACATGCTCGCCGAGATGAACACGGTCCGCAAGTTCAACTAGCTACTTGAACCTTCTTTCATGTAAATATGCAAGCTTGAAGTGATTTTGAGCTCAAATTGCTTACAAATGAAAAAACCATAATAAAGAACCATATATATATAGTGAACAAAATGAGATAAGACAATGGTGAAAAATGAGAGTATGAGATTGGTAACCTTTACAACTAAAGAATCGATGGAGGAATAAAAAAAATCGACGGATGAATCGAAGAATGGATGGAGGAACAATAGAGGGAGGGAGGAAGCAAGAACACTACTGTAGTGAGCTTCAAAATGTGCTGAGCTCGGGCTCGGGGAGGAAGAAGGAGACGGCCGGGATATAAAGGGGGGACCTTTAGTCCCGGTTGGTGGCTCCAACCGGGACTAAAGGTAACTTTCCAATCCCGGGCGCAGCCACGGCCCGGGAGTAGACCTTTACTCCCGGTTGAAGCCACCAATCGGGAGTAGTAAAAGTATACCTTTAGTCGGTTGATGGCTTCAATCGGGACTAAAGGTCCCGCCACCTACTGCTGGCGCTTGATGGCCGTTGGGCAGGGACCTTTAGTTCTGGTTGGAGCCACCAACCGGGACTAAAGGTATCTCTAGTCCCGGGCGCAAAAAATGCCGGGACTAGAGCCCATTTTAATCGAGGATCAAAGATTTGTTCTCTACTAGTGTATCTGAGCTGGTGAAGTCCTCACCAAAAATTATACTACACACTAATTCTAGCAATAAATCTTATTTGAAAGCATTATCTTGTTGTTATGATTTTGTTGCTAGAAACACTGTAGCATAACATAAATAAATTATAGATCAAAGTATGTCTGAAAACCATGCCAAGTCATACCTCTTTATATTTTGAAATAGATGGAGTACCGTCTTAATTAGTCTCACTAGTCTTTTTTTAATAGAAGAAGGGCACGGGCTCTCCTCCTCAACAAAGCATCATGATAATTGCATGCCTAGAAAGATGAGATATGGACTAATAGGAGCATTTCAACGCCTACTAGTGGAAGGGGAGAAAGTCAGGAAAAAAAAGTTGGCCAGTGTCCAATTCCACTAAACATCGATTAGACTTTGTGAATTCCATTGCCTTTTTGACTTTGGTCCCTAAACGAATGATCTAGGTTGCATGACATATGCCATATATAAAAAGGGGTCCAGGGCATTGCCATTTGCCAAGTAGAGTGCAAGGCACATGAGGGCAACCGAAGAAATTCCATTGAGAGCTTGAGAGACGAATACTGCACTGTCGACTAGACCCGTGCAATGGAGAGGGCACCGGCTCTGTGTCTTCTGTCCACCTTGTTGGCATTCTATTTCTTGGTTCCCTCCAGTGCTGTACCTCTCTCAAGTGAGTTCATATCTCTCAGTTTGCCTCTGCTTGATTTTTTTTTCTTTTGTGTCTTAGCTTTCCTGTGACAGCATGTGATCAGTGATATCTGACCATTTGTTTCTGTGGCTTCTAGGAGTGCAAAGGATGACCATGCAAGAGGATGGTCAGATACCATCGGTTGAAAGCAGCACTCTAGAGCCAAAGGTACCACTACTTGCCTTTTTCAAAGCAAATGCTACCATCTTGACACATCTTCGCCGGTTACAGCATCTTCACGTTTTAGAAGAAATTAAAGCAGAAGTCTCGCGGATATATGGAAGATTTGGTAGAAGTTCATGTAAAATTCTTCTAGAGTTCAAATAGGATTCCCATTGTGAAAATAAAGCCATACAAAGTTTATCTGCTTTGTGGATCAAATTCTTTCAATTAGGATGTTTCAACTTTATTTTACTTTAAAGAACACGTACTTGAACAATTTTCATGCATCATCTCTTTCAGATGAAAATGGAGAAGTTTGTGCCAGAGGATGATGAATCCATGGTCATCGCGAGGATGGCCTTCGAGACACAGGACTACTCTCCCCCAGGGCCCAACAACCGCCACAAGCCACCGGGCTGGAGATGAACGGGGATCACTTTGATGGATGTCGTGCTCTTGGCCGAGGGCATGATGCTCATGAATCTCGGAGAGCCAGCGTTGCAATGTTGCTTGTCCTAGCTATACTAAAAAAAGAATCTACCTATTCATCATGTCACGAAGAACAAACAAATTAAACGTGATGTTTCGTGTGGTTAATTATTGTTACAATTACTACTAAAAATGGCCGTGGTGATTACACCGTGATATGTAAGTTTCTTTAAAAGATTGAGCTTAAAAGGAATTATATCAGATTAATTTTTGTAAACAGGTACCCTCACATGGACATTTGTATTTTTGAGAAATAGCTGTACTTTTTGGCAGATCTCCAAAAGATCTACATATTTCTTGTTTACTAGGACCATGTCATGTATTGCAACGGGAACAAAATAATGTCCGACTACCTTAGTACCTGTCGGGTTCATAAACCCGGGGTCCCTAATGGATCTGCTTCCCTGCAAAAACTCGGCCCAGCAGACGGCGTAGTGACAACGCGCGCCTCCTGGGCCGGCCCGGATACATAATGACAGGCCGGGAGAACGATTCGGTCCCCGACCGGAAGGCCTGGCCAAGGTCGGGACACAGTCCGACTCCAACCTCCTTTTCCGATCGGGGATACGCCGGACTTTTGCTCGTGGCTCTTTCCCGACCGACACGGTCGGGGCCGACTGGGAACGACCGACCGGGGACACCCGCTCGGTGAGGGCCTGGGGATCAGGCGGAGCAGATAAGGTAAGGCGCTCAAGTCAAAGCGCAATATCGAGGACCGTACCCTGCCATACCCTGCGCACCTGCAGGACGGTGCCACCAGGCCATGCCAGATGGGCACTATGCAACCTTCCGGGCGTGTCAGAACACAAACAGTATTGTAGGCGCGGACGTTTGTCATACCAGGCGAACACGGTAGAGCCTGCCACATGCATCTGGACATAAACAATATTGTGGGCGCCGACGACCGTCTCGTACCCGACAGCGTGGGCAACAAGACTAGGTAGCACACGTATACATTCTCTCTCTTTCTCTCACTTGTAAGACCATCCCCTTCAACTATAAAAAGGGATGAGCTCTCTCCTAAAAAGCTCTCTGGCTCTTTGGCTCTCCTAAAAAAAAGAGAAGCTAGACGATTCGAGCACTCGAGGACCTGAGAACTCGAATAGCTCAATATCTCTAGAACTCTAAAGCTACACAGAGCATATGCTACAATACTTAGCGCACGTTAGAGCCCCTATCACTCTCGGCCCTTCGGTTCAGAGTCCGACCAGGCCTTTAACACCCCCTTCTTATTCCTACTCGTTTGTAACCCCACATCAAACTTCGAGCACCTAGGCTCAGGAATAAAGTCACCGACCGACAAAAACTGGACGTAGGGCACGTTGCCTGAACTAGTATAAATCATGTGTCATTGAGTGCTAGGCCACATCCAATCACAACGCACGGTAGAACTATAAATATTTACTTGTTGGTCACTTTTCGCACCGACAGTTGGCGCCGTCCATGGGGAGGACGCCGTGCATTCACGCTTTTGGTCATTAGATGGCCCACCTTTCCACCATTTTCGTGATGGCGGGATCGAGCGATACAATTTGCTTTGGCTCGCTAGAGTTCCCCACGCTCCCACCTGTTGGGATATGGGTTCCTCCTGTCTTCGTGCCACTCCAGACCTTCCACTTTGGGAGTCTGGACTTCGTCGCTGACCGCCTCGGCGTACTCCACCTCCGTGAGGAGGCGCTCATCCCGGCGTCCACTAGAGGAGGAGCGCCCTCCATCGGCCCCCGGCCACCCAACGACCTCAACGTCGAAACCCTCGTGCTTGACCTCGAGCCCATGTTGGGCTCAAACTCCACGATGAGTAACATATATGTTGTTCTTTACTCATTATTTAACACCTTCTACCGACTCTCCAAATGGACCCCATTGTCCCCATTGTGACCGCCATGTGACCGGTTCCCCTATGGCTTCCGCATCCCCTGGGGACGCGTACATGCGAGGGGGCTCTGAAGGATGCTGACGCCGCCCCCTCTCACATCTGAATTTGTGGGGATGGTGGGCTATGCTCCCGCCTCCTTTCACGACCTCATAGATGACGAGGTCAAAATCGACGGCTCCAACATCGGCGACGTCGTGGCACCTAGCCACCCTCTGTCCCGAGAGTGTGCTATGGCAGACGCCCAGGATAGCCACCAGTGGTAGCGGAATCTCTACAGACTCACCCCTAGACCCTTGTGCGAAGGCCCTCGTGCGTGCATTGGAGTAGGGCAAGGAGTTACGACAAAGGCGGTAGAGTCAGCCGCAACCTGTGCTGACGCGCTCAGCGCAGCACGCTGCACCACGTGCGCGTAACCCGGTGAGCGGCGCTCGGGGTCATGCCCGCCAGGTCCAGCGTAACATCCTGGATAGAGGGAACGATGCCCCATAGTTTGCTCAGGCTGGTCAGAACATCGCTGCTGCGACGATGCTTCTGCGTGGCCTTTTTGAGCCTATCGACCCCTAGGAACAGGCAATCCACCGGAACCTTCGGGTGCTGGTGGAAACCGCCACCGTTCAACAGGCAGAGAGCTTCGCGTCACGACATCGGCTCATGGCCTCTTGCCCCACTGGGGGAATGGGGCCGCACCAGTCGAATCGCTCCATCCACTCACCACTATAGTTGCTAGGCGTGGGGCAGGAGGCCGCGGCTGCACCATAGCTCGACCCGGCGCCCGCTCCACACCGACCACCTGTGTGCAAACAGCTCAGGCCGAACCATGATGCTCGCAGCGTCATCAACAATCGACGCCATGCCCGACATGATAATGACGTCCATTAAGTGGCAGCGAGAGCAGGCGACATGGGCCCCGGCCTAACCATCGAGGAGTGCGGGGACACGCATCCCAGGCATGGTGGCCGACTGTGGCAGAACCTCCTAAATTATAGGGCCCACATGCACCTGTCACTGTCCAACGACCTTTGACATCTATGCATATGTTCCTGGTAATTTAAGAAGGCTGTCGGGTGTCCTCGGGGAACCCCGAATCATCCACGATTTCCGAGCAGGATCACATTACAGAGTCATTGCAGTATTACAACAGTTTATTCAAATAAATACATCAGAGTAAAAGTAGCGGAAGACTTACAATAACATAGTTTACAAACCATTTGTTTCAAACCATACAACTAAGTTTGATATTAATACAAACCAAAGTAGTGGAGCGGCATTATAATATAATACAAAACACACAATGAGGCTGCCCTGCCCAAGGGCCACACAATTACTTCTCATCGTCATCACAAGGTACAACTGTCATGCAGCACGATCCACAACAGATCTGCTCATGAGACTCACCTGCAACAAGGGTCAACGAACCCTGAGTACAAAAGTACTCAACAAGACTTATCCGAAATAAGAACTGATAACTCAAGAATGCAGGCTCAGGGATTCAAGGTATGGTTTTAGCAATAATCAAAGTTATTTTGCGTAAAAGCTCTTTAACAAAATTCTTTATTTCAACACTTTAAACTTCATAAACTCATATACAAAGATGACACGATCCGTAATGAGATCATGAAACTTCATATCCAACACCTTCATCAACCATTCTCAAGTTCCAGTTATTAATACTACGATGATGAACAGTGAGTTGAGTCTCCATAACCGAGGAGCAACGACGATTCGAACCGATTGTAAACCCGGCTGGGAATTCTAGACCACACGACATATGCAGGTCCCCGACCTACATATACCAACCTACCCTTAGATCCTCTAAAACAAGAACGGGTCCGCGCCACCCGAGAATACAGTACTCCACCAATCCAGCCCATAGCCACGTGGGTATACGCTATTCCCGCCATCTCTCCACTCCCAGTGCGCGAGTAGCCATTCTCGTAATAGAATCGCCAAGTTCATGCTTACCAGAGTATGTGGTTAGTACTACAAATTCTTACCTCATGCAATTCAACAATGGACGTGCCTTAATCGACACAGGCGGAAAGAACCCGCTCACAAGACCTCCATGTCTTGTGGCTCACACACACCGAGTCCACCCGGTCTAGATTTATTACTCCAAATTCCCATATCACATGCTAACATAATTAACCAATGTTCCATTTAAAACTTGCAGGTGGCAGGTAATCACCCGACTTTCATCGTTCTACGCATAGCTAAGCAAAACTAGGCATATACGAGTTTAAAAACTGGTAATATGGTAAATATGGAATAACAAGGATGGTAATGCACCAATTAGGCTCTTACTTAACTCCTAATCACTTAATGCAGTAACGAAAAGCAAAAGCAAAATCAATTTGTAAAACACAAGGTAGGGTTGTATGCATCCGGGGCTTGCCTTCGTTGACGGAAAAGTCCGGCTCCTGCGACGTTTCACAAGTATTCGGTCCGACCTCAACAGACGGATTAACCTCCTCAACCACTTGATTAACTACCACATGTTCACCTTCGTTTACTACACGTAATAACAATGCCATGTTTAACATGATGTGGAATACGAAACATGATGCTCGATGATGGATGCAAAATTAATAATTTGAATACAACTTTCCTTCGTGGTACAGTTGCAAGTCAAACTAGTCAAACCTTTTTCGCAACACCCAATCAATTGCCAAGGATCATTATCAACTAATGATCCAAGGTCATCACTCAATCAAAATTTCAAACAAAACCTAAATCATTAAAGGTTACTATTTGCTTTTATGAATTAATTATTTAATTCAAAATTATGAAATAAATCAACTTATTCCAATTGAGCTCAAATTTTTTTTAAATGTTCATTACATCATAACTAAGTGACAAAACCAATTTCATAATTTTTGGATATATAAATAAGCCTAGAAAAATCATGGAAATCCATTTATTAATAAATTGAGCAATTTTTATCACATTCAAAAATTACTGAAAAACATTATTTTATATTTTTCTTAAATACTATACATCATAGAGAAGTCACACAAAAATTTTCATAAATTTTGGAGCTCTAAATAAATCTACACAAAAATAA